AGTTTCTTTCTATTGCTGTGAAGAGACACAATGGCAAAGATAACTTATAGAAGAGTTTATATGATTCTAAAGTTTATATGAGAAGAGCTCATGATTCTAAAAGGTCAGAGTCCATGACCGTGGTAAGGATCTTGGTAGCAAGTAAGCAGCCCTGGTGCTGGAGCAGTAGCTCAGAGCTTATATCTGATTCACATGCAGGAGGTAGAGAGAGAACTAAATGGAAATGGTGTGGGGTTTTGAAACCTTAAAGCCAACCCCCAGTGACATACCTCCTCCAATGAGGCCACACCTCCTAATCCTTCTCAAACAGTTCAACCAACTGGGGACCAAGCATAAATCTTTGAGCCTATGGGGGGGGCTTTCTCTCTCTCTCTCTCTCTCTCTCTCTCTCTCAAGACAGGGTTTCTCCGTGTAGCTTTGGAGTCTGTCTTGGAACTTGCTCTGTAGACCAGACTGGCCTCGAACTCACAGAGATCCACCTGGCTCTGCCTCCCGAGTGCTGGGATTAAAGGCTGTACCACCACCTCCTGGCCCGGCTGGGCGCTGTTCTTATTCCAGCCACTCCCCTGATAGACTCACACAAGCACAGTCCAGTATTAGGATGATTCCTAGATGAATAGGTTATTTCAGTTTTACTCAAACGTCTAAAACTGAAAAGATAGAAGTTGTAATTCATGGTTAATCTTCAAACTGCTCTTTCAACTCCTCTGCACCCTGTAAATGCCAGGGCCCTCACACCTGCCTCCCTGCTCACCCACTCTCCCTCTCTTGAATCTGATCAACACTCTCGCCCTCCCTTCCTTCCTTCTCCACCTCTCCACAGTTGGCAGTGCAGGCAGAGAGAAGCTGATGACAACGCCCAAATGGCTTTAAAAACCAACTGCATTTCAGCTGTGTTAGATTCTCAAGGTCTGGGTTTTATCCTAGTGGGGACTGTGTGTCAAAACGTAGGGTTTGTGGGGCAGAAGCAACAGCCAGTACAGTGCTTTCTGTGGAAATATGAAGACCTAGGTCTGACCCCCTAGAATCCATGTGAAAAAGCCAAGCCCAGTGGCATGCACCTGTAATCTCCACACTGGGGAGGTAAGGGATGGGGAGGGGGATTCCTGAGCCACGTGGACCAGCCAGCAAACCTACTTGGCAAGCTCCAGATTCAGTAAGAGACCTGCTTGGGTTGAGGGACTCGGGGCGTGACTCGGGAGTTAATGCACTTGCCACTCAGCCATGAGGACTGATATTAAGACCCTCAGAACACATGTACATGCTGAGTAGGTTCGGTAATGGGCCCGTAATTCCAGACTTGGAAGGAAGAGACAGTGCATTACATGAGTGAGCTCTGGGTATAATTGAACAAGGCAGAAGAACAATGAAGGTAATTCCCACAGCACCCTCAAATAGTGCCTCCATGTGTATGCGTATGCCCTGTGCATCCACATGTATGCTCACATGCAAGCATACACAGACCACATGAAAACAGAAAAATAAGCTTAAGAGTGGTTGAGAAAGACACCTGATGCTGGCCTCTGGCCTCTGCACACATTGGCACAAGTGCACGTACACAAACTAGAGTTTGTGGAATTCTTTTAGGGTATGTTATTATCATCTAACAAGTTATGTTTGTGGACAGGGCCTGTTCATTGTTGATTGTTGCTGAATTCTGATTTTCTCTATCATTTTCATTTAGGCCACTTCCTCTGCTGAGGAAGAGGTGGGGTGTCCCCTCACCTCCACTCCAGCTCTCAGCCTGGCCGTTCTTAGGGCAGACAAGCCTTCTTGGGAGTCTGGGGCTGCTGTTTTCTGCCTTGTTGTGGCTGGCAGATGCCAGGGCCTCTTGGATGGTGGGGGTTCTTTTATTTGCTTGTCTCTGAGTGTGGCACATTCTAAGAATACTGTGAGATAGGCTTGACTATGAACACTTGTAGCTCAGTGGCAAGATAATGGCTTCATTATCATAGCAACAGATCTAGACAAAAGTAGAGAGAGTGTGTCAATCCCACAGATGCAAGGGGAAAGACCACTGACCCAAATCATCATGGCTGTCTGTCCCTAAAAGCAGAGATCAAGAGATCAGCAATGTGCATGGGTAAGATAAGGTTTTTATAGTTCAGGAGTAGGGGGTTTCCAAATGGGGGATTTGGCAGACAAATGGGCAGGATTATAGAAGCAGAACATAAGCATACCAAATTGGTTATAATGACCTCCTGAAACAAAGACATGGCTGTAAGGTGGTCATAACAAGGTGGTCATACTGACTTTTGAAACAAAGGCGTGGTTGTTGTTCCCTGGAACAGGCAGTACAGGACCATTTGTAGTTAAAGTAACAGGCGGGGCATAGCCAAATCCTTGGGAAACGGATTTAATCATAAACAGGAATGACTCTAGTTTGGCTTTACTATGAGATGGTGTCTTAGTTAGGGTTCTGTTGCTGTGAAGAGATGTCATGACTATAGCACCTCTTATAAAGGAAAACATTATTATCATGGCTGAAAGCATGATATACAGGTAAACACAGTGCTGTAGAAGTGGCTAAGTGTTCTACATCTGGATCCACAGGCAGCAGGAAGAGACTGTGACACACTGGTCAGGCTTGAGCATCTGAGACCTCAAAGCCCACCCCCAGTGACACACTTCCTCCAACAAGGCCACAGTTCCTAATAGTCCCATTTCCTATGGGGCTAAGGGGCCCATTTTTACTCAAACCACAACAGAGGGCTTTCAAGCCCAAGATGGAGGCAGGCTGGTTTATCTAGTGACATAAGCAAAAGTTGCCTACATCACACAAGTTAAGGATACAGTTCCTAATTGATCTCTTTGGGAGACAGTTCAGTTCATGTTCATTGGGTCTGCTGTCTTTGTCCTAACCCAAGAGAGTCTGTTTCAGTTCTGGGCCTCCTTTGCCCATGTCCTGAAGAACAAGTCTTTTCTTTGCTGGCCTAATTAACTTCCTTTAGGTATCAGAGAATTTTACTTTCTGTAGAAAGAACCATTTTCTTCCTCTCATGGTCAATTAAGATTAACCTCTTCAACTTTAATCCCAGCACTCAGGAGGCAGAGGCAAGCTGATCTCTGGGAGTTCAAGACCAGCCTGGTCTACAGAGTGAGTTTCAAGACAGCCAGGCCTACACAAAGAAACTCTGTCTCAAAAAAATAAATAAATAAATAAAATAAAATAACATCTCTTCACTACCAAGAAATTCATTGTTCACCTACCTTGTAAAAACAGGCAAGAGTGAGTGTTGCTGGTGGATATGCCTCTGGCCTTCTTTTTTATTTGATTGTGGTCTCAAACTCAAAAGGAAACAAAGGTGTTTCCCTGTGTACCCACAAAAGACATGCATTGCTTTATTAGCACCGACTGCAGAGATGACAGACAAAGCCCCTGAGTGGACAGAAAGCCCCAGGGTGGACTAGACACTGGAGCATTCCTGCTCAGCATGTGGCTCCAAAGCACTGTGCTCTCAAAAATAAATATAGCCACTAAAGGAACGCCGCATTAGGTTTAAATTGTGATATAAAAATACCTGTTACATAAGGTTGTAACATCCATTCTCAATTCATTTTCCATCCTAACCTGCCCTGGTTCGATCTGATTTTTTTCAAAGTTATGAAAGAGGAAGTATTGTCTCAGGAGATAACAAAGGGCAACGAGAGACCCCAGTCTCAAGACAGGGCACAGGTGGGTGTATTCCATTTAAGAGCTCACACCCCCACCACATCTCACCTCCCTTGGGCTCATTTCTTAACATGATTTTCTAAATTCTAAACAGTAGCTTCTGTTGAACTTGGACAGCTGTGAAATAATCACATAGAACAGGCTCAGCATTCAGTGTTCATTAAGGGCTCATCATCATGCACAAGGACTAGAGTTTAATTCTAAAATAAGCTTAAAACAAGAGTCACAGGCCGGGCGGTGGTGGCGCACGCCTTTAATCCCAGCACTCGGGAGGCAGAGCCAGGCAGATCTCTGTGAGTTCGAGGCCAGCCTGGGCTATCAAGTGAG